CGCGCACAGACACACACCCATGCCCATAGACATGCACACAGACATACAAATACAAACACATACAGACACAGACGTATGCAGACACAGATGCACACTAAGGCTACGTCTAGACTGGCCGGTTTTCCGGAAAATCAGCCGCTTTTCCGGAAAAACTTGCCAGGTGTCTACACTGGCCACTTGAATTTCTGCAAAAGCGCTTACGATCTCATGTAAGATTGTCAGTGTTCTTGCGGAAATACTATGCTGCTCCCGTTTTGGCAAAAGTCTTTTTCCGAAAAACTTTTGCGCAAAAGGGCCAGTGTAGACAGCAGAGATTTGTTTTCCGCAAAAAAGCCGCAATCGCAAAAATGGCGATCGGGGCTTTTTTGCGGAAAAGTGTGTCTAGATTGGCACGGACGCTTTTCCGCAAAAAGTGCTTTTGCAGAAAAGCGTCCTGCCAATCTAGATGCGCTTTTCCGAAAATGCTTTTAATGGAATTTTTTTCCGTTAAAAGCATTTCCAGAAAATCATGCCAGTCTAGACGTAGCCATACAGACACAAGCACACAGACACACACACACACAGACACACAAATACAAACCATACACACACACAGACACACGCACAGATGCACACATACACTCCCAGACACACAGACGCGCGCACACACACATGCCCACAGACACACATACAGACACACACTCACAGACACACATGCGCACAGACACACACATGCAAACATACAGACACAGATGCACAGACGCACACATACAGATGCCCGCAGACACAGATGCACACATTCAGACACACACACAGAGAAACATGCACACAGACACAAATACAAACACACACAGACACACACACACACACAAACAGTCACAGACACACACACACAGGCCAAGGGAGAGCTGTGCAGTAACCCTTATCAATAAACTAGGTAAATACAACTTAGATGGGGCTACTATAAGGTGGGTGCATAACTGGCTGGATAACCGTACTCGGAGAGTAGTTATTAATGGTTCACAATCCTGCTGGAAAGGTATAACAAGTGGGGTTCCGCAGGGGTCTGTATTGGGACCGGCTCTGTTCAATATCTTCATCAACGATTTAGATATTGGTATAGAAAGTATGCTTATTAAGTTTGTAGAAGATACCAAGCTGGGAGGGGTTGCGACTGCTCTGGAGGATAGGGTCATAATTCAAAATGACCTGGACAAATTGGAGAAATGAGGTAAATAGGATGAAGCAGAACAGGGCTGGCAAGCAGGATGAGGTAAATAGGATGAAGTTTAATAAAGACAAATGCAAAGTGCTCCACTTAGGAAGGAACAATCAGTTTCACACATACAGAATAGGAAGCGACTGTCTGGGAAGGAGTACGGCAGAAAGGGATCTAGGGGTTATAGTGGACCACAAGCTGAATATGAGTCAGCAGTGTGATGCTGTTGCAAAGAAAGCAAACATGATTCTGGGATGCATTAACAGGTGTGTTGTAAGCAAGACACGAGAAGTCATTCTTCCGCTCTACTCTACGCTGGTTAGGCCTCAGTTGGAGTATTGTGTCCAGTTCTGGGCACCGCATTTCAAGAAAGATGTGGAGACATTGGAGAGGGTCCAGAGAAGAGCAACGAGAATGATTAAAGGTCTAGAGAACATGACCTATGAGGGAAGGCTGAAGGAATTGGGTTTGTTTAGTTTAGAAAAGAGAAGACTGATGGGGGACATGGTAGCAGTTTTCAGGTATCTAAAAGGGTGTCATAAGGAGGGGGGAGAAAACTTGTTCATCTTGGCCTCTGAGGATGGAACAAGAAGCAATGGGCTTAAACTGCAGCAAGGGAGGTTTAGATTGGACATTAGGAAAAAGTTCCTGACTGTCAGGGTGGTCAAACACTGGAATAAATTGCCCAGGGAGGTTGTGGAATCCCCATCTCTGGAGATATTTACGAGCAGGTTAGATCAATGTCTATCAGGGATGGTCTAGACAGTATTTGGTCCTGCCATGGGGGCAGGGGACTGGACTCGTTGACTCTCGAGGTCCCTGCCAGTCCTAGTGTTCTATGATTCTATGATAACCCAGGAACAGGCCTTGTCCCTCCAGCCGGGGCATTTTGATGTTTCCTCTGCAGTTGTGCCTTTGGCAAAATGCCCCTGCGGGGGAGGCAGGGCAGGGAAGTCACCTGTGCAGGGAACGTTTTGCTCCGGGATGCGCTGTGCTGGTCAGATTGTAATTAGTAACTGCCCCAGCCCCGGGGTATAAATCCAGCTCCCGCCTACCCTGGCAGCCAGTGCCCGAGGTTTGCAGCCGCTGCCCTGCCCCTCCCTGGCCTGACACGACCTCCCAGCCTCCCCCGTCGGCGCGGCAGAGAGAAAGCGGAAGATGAACCAGATCCTGGCGCTGGGTTTGCCAGCCCTGTTCTGCTTGGCATTTGGTAAGTCCTGAACCAAAACTGACAGGGAGATTTCCACCCGTGATGGGGAAGAGCTGAAGCTGCTGCCAGACTGCCAGGCCGGTCAGCTGAGGGCAAGCCCGGGTCGTTTGCGACAGCGTGTGGCGGCTCCCCCCACTCGATGCTACATGAAATTGACTTGTGGATGCAAATATCCATAACTCAAAGATGCTTTGTACAAAATACCCCATGAACCCGCCAATTGAAATGTCCCAGTCGGCTGGATCTGTACATCCTACTTCGGTGCATGTATCACTTTTGTATGTAAAATTAGAAATATGGGGGATGGGATGGTTTGTGGCTTTAAATGTGCAAAGCAAAGGCATCAAGGGTGTTTTCCTCAATGTCTGGGTGATCACTTGTAAACAGCCCCCTATGTCCTTTGAGTCTAGCAGTGGTTGGTCTGTGGAAGTCATGTTACCCCCCTAACTGGTCGGGTCTCACCAGGTAATTTTCCATGGAAGGATGGAATGTAGAAACAAAGAATTCCCGCCCAAAAGGAAGTCTATTTAGGATGCAAAGTTTTCAGGCTCTTTGTCTTTGGCTGGCATGTGACTCCCAAGAGAATGAACCAGAGACCTCAGGGGGGAAAGATCTTCCCTGGCTTCTTCAGATATGGGCTGTGCCCACGCAAGCTCCTGATCCCTTCTCCACGTTTGGTTAGTCTATAAAGTGCTACCAGCCCATTGGCTGTTTGTTAAGTTTCTCCTGCGCAGACTCACTTGGCTCCCCCTGAAGTTTAGGGTGAGTTTGCTATAAGCTTCAGGGTGTTCGAACTAGCTATGTTCTGAAAAAACTTCTTCCGAAAAAGAACGTCCACACTGCAAAAGTGCATCGAAAAAGCAATCTGCTTTTTCAAAAGACAGCATCCACACTGAATGGACGCTCTCTCGCATGTAAGCTGTGATTACTATGGACGGAATGGCCACCAGGGCACCTATGCTTTTTCCTGCAGGCCTCTTCTTCAGAAAGAACTCCCTCTTGCCCGTCGACACATGCCTTTTTGTGAAAGAGCTCTTTGGCAAAAAGGCTTCTTCCTCGTAGAATGAGAATTACCAATGCCAGAAAAACCCCTCTGTTCTTTCAATTTTCTTGTGGAAGAACGCAATTGCAGTGTGGACATTCCTCAAGTTTTGTTGGAAAAACAGCCATTTTTCTGACAAAACTCTGTAGTATAGACATATCCTTAATGCACAAGACAGACGGGGGGAGGGGGAGAGGGACAGAGGCTTGCTCAAGGTCACACAAAAGATTGGTGGCAGAACCAGGAAAAGAAAGTGGACACTGACTCCTAGACCTGGGCCCTATCCACTAATAGGCACTGCTTTTCATCACACAGAATAACCCAAGAAATGCCACAGAAATCATTGGTAGGTTTCTATGACAAGACATATACTTTGACTTTCAATTATATCTGTCCTAATCAACAGGAATTTTAAGACACAACTTTAAATCTGTAACTTCGCATTGGTAAAACTGGAGGAGGGCATATATTCTCTATAAAAATTACCAGTTTGATTTGCTATAAAGTTAAAAATGAGACTGGTATGCATGGATCTATAGTAAACAAAATCAAATTCTAAATCAAGCATCTATGTAAAGAGACTATAATCGCATTGGAAATAAAAGTATCTGGACTCAATACCTTTGGGGGGGTCAAAAATTTTATTTTACTATATCTCATCAAAGGTATCTCTATTCTGAAATGGACACCAGGTCTGCACCAGACCTGACACCTTGGCTTAAGGTATACAACTTCAGCAATGTAGAATATGTAGCTGGAATTGGCTTACTTTAAGCCGAGCGTGGCAGTGTCCACGTAGCAAAAGGCCGACAGGAGCATTTGTTCCCATTAGCTTCCCTTACACCTGGAAGGAGCAGGAGAACCAGATGCTAATGGAGGCGCTCTCTGAGATTGATTTAGCGAGTCTTAACTAGACTCACTAACTTGAACTCTGGAAGATCGATCATGGCTACAACGATCTGGCTACGGTGATCTTCCATGGAGTGAAGATGTGGCCTGTATTTTTAACCACAGCAAAAAACTGTAAGATAGTTTCCATCCAGCCACCATGCTTTATGAAATTGACTTTTGGATACAAATATGCATCACTCAAAGATGCTTTGGACAAAATACTTCATGTAACCTATCAATCTTAATTTCACAATCTGCTGGATCTATATATCTTATTTTGGTCTATGTATCACTCTTGTATGTGAAGTTAGAGATATGGAGCATGGAATGGTTTATGGTTTTAAATGTGCAAATGAAAGCCATCAAGGGTGCTTCCCTCAATGTCTGGATGATCACCTGTAAACAGCCTCTTTTAAGTCTATGGAAGTCATGTGATCCCTACCTCCTAACTGGTAGAGGGTCTGACCAGGTAATTTTCCATGGAAGGGTAGAATGTAGAGACAAAGAATTCCCGCCCCAACAAGGAGGCTATTCAGGATGCAACGTTTTCAGGCCCTTGGTTTTTGGCCGGCATGTGACTCCCAAGAGAATGAACCAGAGACCTCAGGGGGGAAAGATCTTCCCTGGCTTCTTCAGATATGGGCTGTGCCCACGCAAGCTCCTGATCCCTTCTCCACGTTTGGTTAGTCTATAAAGTGCTACCAGCCCATTGGCTGTTTGTTAAGTTTCTCCTGCGCAGACTCACTTGGCTCCCCCTGAAGTTTAGGGTGAGTTTGCTATAAGCTTCAGGGTGTTCGAACTAGCTATGCATTTTCTATTTTCAGTTTGTAATTCACTTTGCTCTGCCTGTTTTCACTTGCAACCACTTAAAACCTACTGCTTGTATGGAATAAAATCACTTTTATCCACTATCGCACCCATTGTAAATAACAGTTACCTGGGGGAGCTATCGGTGTGAGCATCCTCCTTTCAGTGTGACGGGGGACTGCCTGACTGGGCGTCAGGGCCAGCTCGAGCCATTCCTGCACCCCGGGCCCCGCCCCCCCCAGTGCGCTGCGCACCTTACAGCTGCCATCAGGCGCCCACCATAGAAGCCATCCATAGGTGCCCAGCTAGCCCCCTCTTAATCTGTCCCTGCTGGGCTTTCAACGTGTGAGATTCATACGGGGAAGGATGGATTAATTTGGGGTTGTGAATCCATTGGGGGGCTGGTTTCCTGGATGCTGTGCCTGGAGCTGCATCCTCCCAGAGCTGGGGTGGTTCGGTGTCTGCGTTGCCCTTTGGGAAGGGAGAGGGGGCGTGATCTCAGCTCTGTGCCTTCGCTGGGCGAGACCGAGAGATCTGGCCCAGCAGGACGGGCTGGAAGCAGCCCCAAGGGGTCTTGTGACCACCCTCATCACACAGTGATTCCGTTACAACCAGGTGCTTGGCTAAATGGCAGCTTGTGCTCTGTGGAGGGACGACCCCCAAAGCCAGGCTGACCTAGTGGGGACCTGAAATGAGCATGGATGGAACATCAGGGTCAGGGGGAGGGGAGACTGGCTGGTTCCAGGCGCTGAGAAGCTGGTTTGAAATCTGGGCTGGGTCCGGCTGCTTGATTCCTATTTTCCCTTCTCTCTCCTCTCCCCCAGTTGGCTCTCTGCACTGCCATGGCTGTTTCATGCTCTTACAGGACGGGAGCTGCATGCTGGGCAAGCACACCTGCACAACCGCTCCGGGGGAATCCTGCTTTACCCGCAAAATCACCGTAGGTGAGTGGGAACTGCTTGCTCCAGAGTGACCCCTAGTGGGGAGCCGGGTCAAGCCCCCCAGGGCAGCATCTCCATGGGTAGTGCCATAGCGAATAAGAAAAAGTTATTTACTTGTTCCCATAACATAAGAACTAGGGGACACCAAATGAAATTCATGGGCATCAAGTTTTAAGTAAACAAAAGGATGTTTTTCTTCACACAGCACACAGTCAACCTGTGGAACTCCTTGCCAGAGGAGGTTGGGAAAAGAAGGACTTTAACCGGGTTCAAAAAAGAGCTAGATACATTCATGGAGGTTCGGTCCATCAATGGCTATTAGCCAGGATGGGTAGGGATGGTGTCTCCAGCCTCTGTTTGTCTGGAAATGGGCGACAGGGGAGGGATCACGTGAGGATTCCCTGTTGTGATCCCTCCCTCTGGGGTCCTGGCATTGGCCACTGTCGGCTGACAGGACACCCAGTCTGGCTGTTCTTACGAGCAATGCGAGGTGTGGCTGCAGCATGCGCAGTTACACCCGCACCAGCCGGGACCCGCCAGCTGGAGGGACGCTAGCAGGAGGCTGGGGCAGCAGGGTGCCAGGCTGGTTAGTGTCTGGTGAGCGCACCCTGAGTCCGAGGGCTCACACGGCCTGTGTGGTCATTGGAGCCAGCTAGATCCCAGTGTCGGGCACTACGCCCCGGCCCGGCCAAAGGGTTTGCAGGGCCCAAGGCAGCACGGCTCCGTCAGGGCAGCGAGTGAGCGGCCGGGCAGGCAGGGCCGGGAGCCAGGCAATGCAGGACCCTGAGGGTCCCACGGCCGGGCCTGACTACATGGCAGCAGTGCACACAGGGCCTGTAACACTGGCCGCAGGGAAGTGCCAGGGCTGGGGCTGTCCTGAGAACAGAGGGACCAGCAGGAGCAGGGGTGACAGCAGCGCAGGACAGAGGGGTGGGCTGCCCAGCTGGGGATTCCCCTGGCACAGCCCCTGGGAGGAGAAGCCAGTCCCTGGTGCCCAGCTCTGGTCTCGCTTTCCCTCTGCAGCAGGTGTTATCAACCGTGTGGAGCGGGGCTGCACGTCAGTCTGCGAGAACACGGATGTCCAGGAAGACTTCTACCAGGACAGCACCCAGTGCTGCAAAGACCAGGATTTCTGCAACGTCCACAACCCCTTCCCCAAATTCACCGATTATGCCTAGGGGGAGGAAATGAGCTCTACCCTCTGGCCCCGCCCCACTCCCTTCTGGCCCCGCCCTGCTTACCCCAGCCCCTCCCCCTGACTGGCTGCCCTC